GATGGGCCTCGTTGTCAGGTGACAAAGCAGGGATTTGATGGGACAGGATACGCTATCTACGAACCCCTAAAACAGTGTGAGAACTCCCTCACCAGCATCGAATTTATCACCACGAAAGCCAACGGTCTGATCCTTTATAGTGGACCCGTCACAGACCTAGACTCCAATGCCCCTCAGGACTTCATGTACCTCCAGTTAACAGGGGGTTACCCAGAGCTTGTCCTGGACCATGGGTCAGGAAATGTGACCTTGACCTTGAATGGAAGGGACTCTCAAGGTCAGGTGAAAATGAATCCTCTGAATGACGGGACCTGGCATAAGATTGATATCACAAGGCAGGGCAAGGTAGGATCAGATAAAATGGGTCTTATTTAAATTAACATTGTATTACATACATTATATGATAGATGTGTAATGGGTATTTCTGTGTTCTTGTCAAGATCTAAGTGTTTTTCATTGTATCATTCTGACAATCTGTGTTTTGTAGTATGTGACATTGACAGTAGACCACTGTCTGTGTTATTCTGACAATCTGTGTGTTTTGTAGTTTGTGACGATGACAGTAGACCACTGTCTGTCAGCTGACAGTTCTGAGGGCCAAGATCAGGACAGAGCGCCGTGTGAGAGCAGTGGATTAACTCGAGGTGAAAACATCTTCTTGAATGTAAACGCACCTCTACAGATGGGAGGGCGTTATGTTGACACCAAATATCCCAACGGCATCAGTAACGAGAAGTTTAAAGGCTGCGTACGAAACATGAGACATAATGGAGAGGTACAGTGACAGTCAGATTTATATCATTAAAATATGATGGATAGAAATCATCAATCTTTGAAATATGACAGATAGCAAAACAAATCAAAAATTATATTTGTATTTTTGAGAAGAGTAGATTAAGAATATTATTAAATTCTATTTTGAATTTGCAGTTTTACATGACCATTGAAATTAGATGATAAATTTTGTTTTAGAATGTATTTTTAAGTTTTCTCTTGCTTTCTTTCAGTTGTATAACTTATACACTAAGAACTTTTACCCTGGAAGTCGTGACGGCTGTCCTGATGAGGATAATGCCTGCAAAGGTTCTGTCGATCAAACGAAGAAATGCGGGGAGAACGGGAAGTGTGAACTGGTGGCCCTCCCACAAACCACGCGGTGTATCTGTAACCCTGGATACCGTGGCACCAGCTGTGAGACAGGTACATTGTGTGTTAGTGTTCAGTAAAGACGATGCATGTAAAATATTAATGCTATCTACAAATCTGGATTATACACAAAATGCTACTAAATTAATCATAGAAAATGAACTGCAGTGTTAACTTATTTGACCACTTCCCTTTCCAGAGACTACAGAGAAGTTTTTCCTGACCAAGAGTTACATGGACTGGGCTCTACAGCAGCAGTTCCACGCCAGTCTGAATACGAGGAAAATGGACGTCCAGCTCATGTACCGGACACGACAGAAACACGGCATGATTTTCCATGTCACTGGCGAGGGTATCGGAGAGTTCATCAAACTTGAGGTAAAGTATTATGGCCTGTAGAAAACATCTTAAAATTTCTAACATTTCATGTTTGTAAAATACAGTTTCAGTGGCAGATTTCAAGATTTTTGCAAGAAAATTCTTGTTATGAAGATATAAAATTCCAAAAATATTTTGCCCCAAAATTCTATTTCTATTAAGAATTTCTTTACTGAAAGGCTATAGAATTTTGTGTCCTTTCATTACAGATTGTAGATAATGTCATACAAGTTCTATACAATTTGGGAGATGGAAACAAAGTCCTTCAGATGGTTAATGTCACGGCAGCAGATGGATATTGGCACACCCTGTACTTCCAGCGTCGAGGACGAAGCATTGTTTTATCACAGGACGGGGGCGAAGGTCCGATGTTTGTTGAGACCAGTGTGGACTCTAAATACCAGGAACTGACCGTTAAACAGAATCAGATATACGCTGGAGCAGAGGTCAGCTACGAACACTCCAAGACTATTGACCAGACCAATGCTAAAGACCTAGAAAACTGTAAGTATTCGGGGATCTAGAAAAAGTGTAAGTGTTAGGGGATCTAGAAAACTTAAGTATTGGGGGATCTAGAGAACAAAAAGTGTTGGGAGGGGATCTTGAAAAATCTATTTGTTATGGGGATCTAGAAAACTGAAAGTGCTTGGGGATCTAGAAAACTGTAAGTGGTTGGGGGGATCTAGAAAACTGTTAGTGAGTATTGAGGATCAAAGGAGATACATGTACACATTTAATTGTGGAAGTATGTTTGATGAAAGCACAGCAAAATTGGAATTAAAAAGATCATTAAGGTCTTCCGTTTCCAACGGAAGACCTTCTACTGATTCTGATGATTAAGATTATTCTTATTATTCTTTTTTTTTTCCTTTTCCTAGACGCCAACTTTGAGGCATCATATTTCACTCATTTCTCAACGGATTTTGCACAAATTTTCAGACATTATACACATCCATACACTCTATCAGAATGCCATCTAATATTTTAAAAATGTACTCCCACTTTTGAGTTATTTCCCTTTAAATGAAAATTTATAGGCTTTCATTTCCAGATAAAGGCTCAGAGACCACAAAAGCTGGAGCAGAAATTCTACTGATTTTAGATAACAGAAGAATTGAAGTTGTGCATGCCAGTTTTTGTTTTTCAATTTCTTTATTCAAAATGGCGCTATATAGGAGTAAAAAATAAGAACGCATAAAAGAGCGAAAAATTACACATATTTTACCTTTTATCTTGAAAACTAAAAATATTTTGTTAAGACACATTGAATAAAAGTTGTGCATTTTTGCAAGAGCTTTCATTTGATATCATTGGAAAGGGGCTGGCCCCTAAAATTAGGGATCTAGGGGCCTTGAGAGTTTTTGCTTTATAGCTCAAAAACGGTAAATATTTTGATATGGTTGTCGATTATAAATTGTTCCTTTATATCATTTCTATCCTATAAAAATATTATTTTGTTCGAGTCTTACGTATGGTAAGAAAAAAAGGTAGATCCGTAAACATGGCACCGTTCTCATTTTGCTATTGAAAGAGAACTTTTTATGCGTATAATTGAAATAAACATGCCATAAGTAATAAATATTTTACAACGCTGATCATATTTTTTTTTTGATAAGGCTTTAAACGTGTTTTTTTGGTTCCCGTACAGAGTATTCGATGGCAACTTTTTCTTTTTATTAATAAAGATCTTTCCAAGAGAGAGAGAGAGGGAGAGAGAGTGATAGAAGTACGAGTATCTTTTCTTTGTTTAAAATGAACACAAACAATTTAAATGAAAACAATATACACCCAGATCTCATAGAAACTTTTTAAAGAGTCAAATAATACACCATTATTTACTGCTCGATTCCACATTCACCTGGAACACAGATTCTAACCGTGTTTACCATTACATAATCTATCCGTCGATTACACGCGGCCGAGAAATCTAAAGCGACACTCCGCGGTGAATCATTGACCCTGCAGTCGTAGGCAAAATAATTGATATATTAAAACCTTTCTACAGCACGACAATTAATGGAAAATTCTTATTGTCGAATATTTGAGATTAATATATTGGCTTAACTTTGTTTTAAATTTGAACATGATACATATTTTAACTAAAACAGCTATCTAGGTTTTGTGTTTGTTTACAATTATGCGACCAACCATTCTTTCCATCGCTTGTTGACATTAATTTCGCCGGGTGGTAGACATGTCTAATTTACAAACTTAATGGAAAATATTATTTTCTTTAAGTAAATCGAATCTTTAAAAAAATCTTAAATTGTCTTAGGTTTGACTTCAGCACAAAACCCTTGGGCATTTACTTTACATGTACTCAGTACATTAATTATATTAATCAGTCTTTAGTTTTTAAAAGTTTGTTAGCTCCATGTGTAATTTTACTTTTCATTTTATTTCATTGCATAAGGACTATAGCGATCTGTGGTTACTTTACTTCAACCAATATTGATTTAAATACATAAGCTTTGCCCTTTTCACACACAAATAAATCCATTTTCAACACGAATTTTCCCAAACACATTTTTTTTCCATCACAGATTTTAACCATGTCTTTACGAATTTTAAACTTTTAAAGAGAATCTTCCCAACCATAAGGATAGAATTATAGTCAATGCAATGGATTAAACATCGATAGTTAACTCCGGCACGTGTAAACTTCATAAGTGGCTTCTGTGCTGCACAATGCATACTTATATTACAGGTTCGATACTAGTAAAGTTGAAAATATAATTCAAGATTTTAAAGCAATGAACTTAATTTGTAAAATAATTTATTCAAATCCCGTAAATGATCAGTATACCCGGTAGTGTGCTAACATTGTAATTTTGTTCCATGATTAAATTTCGGTACCAAGTTATACAATGTACATGTAAGTAGTAATAAACTCGCATCCTATGTCCAGAATCGAAAATTAAAGAACTTATTTAACATTCTGCAGCTACTGAATATCAAAAACTTATCATGTACACCTTTACAACCTAATTTAAACTATTAAAATAATATCCGGCACCATAGTCAAACCATTTGTATCGTTTATCGAAATAACTCAGTATTTTCTTTAAAATTATGAACTTATATCTAACACACATTACTTTTCCTGGTTTAAAAAAATAAATGTACGAAAGAAGGCAAAAGAGAGGCATTTTGTTCAAGTACATTCACGTATTTAACAGAGAGTCTCCCTGTATCAATTATTGACTAATTTATTTTATTAAACATAACTCCCCTTTCTTATTTAAATTAAATTTATTTGTTGATTTTATTCAACTTCAAGCACAATATGTAAGTACTTAAAGTCCATGCATGGATGCTATTGTACATCAGGAATTTTCTTTTATCTTTTATCCATGCATTTCGCCTTCAAGGAAAATAATTATGAATAAATTAATTGAAGGACGTGTATAAAACCATGTGGTTTGGGTTTGTCAATGTGTTTTAGATCATGATCAGCAAATCACAACTCCTTGGGCCTTTCTGTCTAACGGAATAATAATAATCTCGAATGTATTACATATACACCATAACTCCCCCATGCACCCCACCCCCTTTTCCCAAAGTTTGAAATAAATATTCTTATTCAATGGACTGATAGTTGTATGTAGCCTAAACTTTCAACACCCCTCCCGAAATATTTCATAGGCAAAATTCTTAATCATCTTTTTTTTTGGGGGGGGGGGGATATGATTGATGTGTTTTAACATCCCTCTCAAGAATATTTCACTCATATAGAGATGCCATCATGCACTTGCCAGTGGAGAACTTCAACTATCCTATAATCGGCACTTAAGGCCTTTGACCGGGGGAGGGGGATCTTTTCGTTCCAGCACCTTAAGCAACACGGGGCCTTGTTTTATACGGTTTCATCCAAAGAACAGGCCTCCACGTCCCACAGTGGGATTCAAACCCACAATGTAAGGATGAACTCCTTTCTTTATGACTATAGAGCAGACGCTCTAATCAGTGCGCCATGAGGGCGACCTTGGATGATATAAAATGAAGATAATGAAGAAAATGGTTAGTTAAATAAGAAGGGGTCGTTTTAAAATATTATTTTTATGAACCTCTGGGCAAGAATGAGAAACTATACTTATGAAAGATTCCTGATATAAAAAAAATTACTTTCTTTTCTGTTTTCAAATCATGACCAGAGTTTCCCCCACAAAGTGATTGAGTATTTTAGGGGGTAGGGTGGATGGGTTGGGAATTAAATTGTCTGTTTAACTGTCCAGATGTCTGTCTGTCCCTCAAAGTTTTTCCTAGAAGGCCAGGCTATAATGATCCTAGGATGTGTCATGAATCAAGGCAATATTATGGCAAATTCAAGATCACTGAAGAAAGAATAAATGTTTAGTCGCAGTAATTTATATGTAATCGAGAATATTTGTTTGCTAATACTTGATACAGAGATTGTTTGTGACAAAAGGAATTTTCTATGATTGTGACTCCAAAAATAGTATCATTTCAATTTGGACAATTTTTGTTTAAGTTCATACTTGATAAAATTTAGATGACTTAAAATAAGGCCATTTTAACAAATTCAGGGCCAATGGCAGAAAAGTTGTAAAATTCCTGTCAGAGTTATGAATTTTGAATCACTAAAAGTTGTTTCAGATTGAAGGTTTGTCTTGACACAAAGCCAATTCTGTTAAGATCAAGGTCACTGACAGAAAAAAAATATTTTCTTTCCCATGCTATGAATTAGTAAATGAAAATCATTGGAGGCTCTTACTTGAAACATAGATTACTTATGATTGGAGGTTGTGTCATGACCCTGATCAAAGGTCTTTCTAGCAAATCTAGGTCACTGACAGAGAAAAAAATGTTTAAGCATAACTTTGTAATTAAAATTCACTGGAGGCTCATACTGAGAAGAAAGGTTGTTCACATAAGAAAGTGCAGTGACCTTGACCCAAGGTCGGTACATCCTGTCCATAGCTCCAACAGAAGACCTACTCGTTGCTTTGCAAGGAGCTCGACTCTAGTTTTTATACTTATTTTTAAATACTTATTGTTTTATATAACATTTCATATTCAACTTCTTTGAATATTTGCAGAAGGAATGTTTTGAGATAATAACACATGTAAGAATTTGGTGTTAGACATTGTATCTATGTTTTGGATATTTCAGCCTGTCTGAATGACATCCGTATGGACATGAAGTGGTTCCCGATGACTGCCTCAGAGAATAACCAGAATAACGACATCAAGATGGTGGCAGAGGCACAAACAACGAACAACTGTACTCGTGATGACTGCGCGGGAAATATATGTGGAATGAACGGAAAAATCTGTATCCCTCTCTGGGGCATGCATAAGTGTGTGTAAGTAATTTATCTGTCATTTAGGAGAGTTTATATTAATTCAGATTTTGTTTTTTTTCAGGCGAATCCTTATAAATCTATACTGTATTACCTCCCTTTAACAGGTGCCCCCCTCACCACCAGGAGATCAGCGGCAACTGTGTATTTATAGACTACTGTCAGAATTCTCCCTGCCACCACCTGGCCACCTGTGTGTCAGATAAAGATAACACAGAGTTTGGTTATTACTGTAACTGTGCTCCCAAAATGAGTGGTCGTCTGTGTAACGTGTACAAAGAGCCAATCGTGGTGACGGAAGCTTCTAGCTCGGTTTGGATCATTGTCCTGGCTGTTATTTTGATCCTGCTGCTTATTGGTGAGTTAGCCTCTTGGGGCTCTCTTAGTTTGAATATCTGCTTGTATCATTTAGGGCTTGTTTAAAACTTTTCAATTTTGACATTATCATTTTATTGCAATATTCTAAAGAGAACTGAAAACCACACTAATGTTTTTATTTATCTATGTGTCTTGGTACTTTAAAATGGCATTTTAGTTATTTGTACATAAGTATTACTGATTATAAATATGATGACTCCTTTAAAACCACATTGTCCTTTTGTAGTTGTGGCGATTATTCTGGCCTACTACATCAGACGCCGCAAGGCACAAGATCAGGAGAACATCATGAACTACGAAAAAGACGACTACGACATCCGCGAGAACATCGTAGATTACGACGAGGATGGGGCGGGTAAGAGAGATGTGCATGGAAGTGCAGATTAAATATTATTGATTTAATACATATATATATTTAAATTGAAAGTTTATTTTGACACTTATTCAAAATAAAATTTTCATTGTATTTTGTACACTGTGAGTTAAGAAATTGAACAGATCAATGAAATGAACTTTTTTCTATGACAGGTGAAGATGATCACGAGGGATACGATATAAATAGACTGAGGAAACCCGCGGACATGACAAGGATGGATAAACCAATCATGGCCACCCACAGCAGGCCTCTTAAATGTATGTCACAATCTTATATTTATATCGCATATCCATACATTTATTATCAATGAAAGCAACATACAACACGTTAGAAGCTCATTCTTGTTATTATTCAATGTACTGTATATGTACATACATTGGCATATTCAAAATTTACTGCAATAACTTGGTATTAAGTTGTTGGTATATTCATGAATTAAAGCACTTCACACCAACACGTCATATAGTACATGTAGAAAAAAAAGCACTAAACGTATTTATTCAAGAATTCTAAGTTTGCGCCAAAGCTGCTAAAATATGAAGCTTGCTATTTTATGTACAGGTACAGGAATGTTTGACAACATATTGTAATCCTGTATTGTATGATGACGTACTAGCTGAGTCTATAATTCCTCTGTTTGTTTACACAGCTGGACCACCAGGAGGTACAGTAGGGGACTTTATCACGGATCGCCTTGACGATACAAACAATGACCCTGATGCCCCGCCCCACGACACGCTTCATGACTTTGAGTACGAGGGGGAGGGAAGTGATGCCGGCTCACTGAGTTCTCTAAACACGACGTCATCGGGAGGGGACCAGGATTACGACTTCCTCAACGAGTGGGGACCTAAATTCTCCAAGTTAGCGGACATGTACAATAATTATGAGGATGATTCAGACTGATTAGGCAATGGGAAATTTTACAATTATGCAAGAAAAATGAAATACCTGAATATGTAGAATAACTGTAAAATGGTGAAAAAGGATACGATGAAATGTAATCTTGAGAACCGACAGTACAGGTAGCGGTCAGAATATCCTGTATTGAAAATTGGCACATTGATGCAGTTATAATCAACTTAAAATTTTGATGCAATTATAATCAATTTGGAATTTTTATTATGAAGTAATGATCAATGAAGAATTTTTATGTAGTTATAATGAATTAAGAATTTTGATTCAGTTATAAGCATCTTTTGTATTGATATACATGAATTACATGTAGTTATATTAATATAGAAAAATCATGCCTAACAAGGATTTAATACTCTGAAATTTATACTAAATCAGGAATTACCTACAAAATCAACATATTAAAAAAATTAGATTGATTAAACATAGTTTGATTTAAATTTGAAGAATATGCACTTTTGCGTTTAGATTATAAAATACTCATTTGATATTGTAACCATTTATACATTAATCATGAGATTCTAATGCAGATCAAACTTAACATCTATAAACGTTTTATAGCGTTTTTATATTGTTTTGTACAGTCCATTATGAATGGCTGAGTTATTTGTATTCTTGTGTTAATCAGTCAAACTGTCTCTTTTGACACTAATGGGGGTCATGTGTAAAAGATCACAGTTGTGTGGGTCATCATCATGGTAACACTGTAAACATACTGTGATAATCATGTATTGTCTTTTATCTTTTGTATATAATTTATCAGTGCTAGCCTAAGTAAAATTTCTCATTCATTGTCTTGTATGAGTCTGAGAGTAAAAAATGAATGTATTTTTTTAAAATCACAAATTCTTGCAGGTAGAGTGTAGTGTATTTGATGAACATTTTTTACATGTTTGAAAGTAAGCTATTTACACAAGTGTATTAGATTTAATCTGCATGTCATTCTTTTCAAAAATCCATTGCCTAATTTTGTTAAACTTTTGTACATCTTGACCAATTCCTATACATCACCACAGGAGTCTGAAGTTTTTATCGTAAAAAAAAAAAAAAAGAAAAAAAAAAAAAAAAAAAAAAATCCGGAAAAAAATTTTCCTACCCTTAACGGTTTTTTTTAGTAAAGGGTAGGAAAATTTTTTTCCGGATTTTTTTTTTTTGATGATAAAAACTTCAGACTCCTGTGACATCACATTATGGTTGTGGTATTATTTTTTTCAGTAGAAATCCCACATCATTTTGTTTAGGTTTTCACTAGGTTACATTCCAGTATACATGTATAAACATATCAAAAGACTTATCTTTTCTATAAGGTTGTGCCAGATTTTTTTCATGCATCATCACTGATATTTTTTGTAGTTAAAAGTCATAATATTTTTTTTTATTCAGTATTGTTCAATATGTAAATTATTGTGAAAATATTTTAGTAAAATAAATTTTTTCAACATTAATCATGAGATAATAGAGAGGTTGAGATTTCAAACGTGTACGTGTACGGGTACGTCTAGCAGGGGAATAACCTAAATTCTGTGTGTATTACGTCATCAATTTTAGTGACGTCAAGATTGCTACACGTTCGTAAAACTTGTAGAATGGAATCTACACGTAAGTGAAAACGTGTAGCTTTAATAATAAAAATTAGCCAATTTAAGTGTTAAAATGTGATTGTTATACATTATATGGGATGTTTACTTTCACGAGCACTTATTTTCATCAAGTCTTGTTTACTAACTGACGACAAAAAACCTTCGAAATAGTTGAAACAGAGACACTGATCGCGGTGTACACGTACATGTTACACGTCATAAAAATCTCAACAGACAAATTTTAAAAAACGTGTACGTGTACGTCAAAATATGTACAAGTACACGTACGCGTACAAGTTTAAGATCTCAACCTCTCTATTATTTGAGTGTTTGTTTGTACAAGGTTTTCCTCTTGGCTAGATAAAGACACAAGGTTTCTCCAGGTACCAGAGTGGAGGTAAACATGCCCACACCACAACCATTTGTATGTATACAACAATACACATTGCAATACCAAACTTTTTTTTCTCTAAGCCAGATTATGATTGATTTTGCACTATAGACTACTGAGAAATAAGTTTCCATCCTTCATGTTTTAGTCCCCTACTGGTAAAACTAAAGGGGAAGCTGTGTTGGTTTCCTCATTGTCTTTCTTTCCCATTTAGTTTTCCTGCATATTTTAGGTCACCTGAGCCACTCAGGTGACCATTTACTATTCATTGTCATCTGTTGTCATGACGTGTGCTAAGATTTGTACATTTTCAGCTTCTTCTCTGTATTAACTAAATCTAAACCAATTTTTGCACAAAGCAATCTATGGGTGAAATCTTCACATCTGCACCTTGGTATTAAGAGCCAGTCCGCGAGAAAACCATGCAAAATTCAAAAAATCGTCCAAATGGAAGGTTGCAACTTGGGAATTTTAAGTGGCTTAAAATTTTCTACTTAAAGGTAGAAGTCAGAATATCCACCAAAAAATGTTGAACCCTGCATCTATTTTTAGTAACAGCTCGTTTGCATATTTGTCGAAAATCACACAAAATTTAATGGAAAATGTATACAAATTGATCAAGTCAAAAAGTTACCTTTGTCATCAGTTTACTTTCAAATTTTGCTTTATTTTCAAAGTCATGGTCCAATTAACACAATCAATGAGGAAAAACTTAATTCAAATAAATATTTTATTTTTGGCACGTCTATTTATAGATCCTAAATAAATGAGTATGATTTTTTAGCCATTTTTAGATGCTCATTTCTCTCAAGACCAAGGCTGAAAATAAATTAAATTAATTGTTACTTTAAGAATGATCTAAGGCCTACTCTGTATTAAAATATTGAGCTTGGGAAATAATATCTACATGATGTAAATTAACTTTGAAATACCATATTTTGCTACAATTTCAAATATTTTAAATAACAGACTTTTACCATATTTTGGATTATTTCTATGATATTTAAATAAAAAAAGAAGATTCTTAATCTGATATATTTTTTAGAAGAGGAATAACTGATTTGAATACTTCATATAACTTTCTTTTGCTTATTTTAGCCCCTTGTTACCAATTTGCTGGAGTTAAATTGTTATCTCCCCTTGTTGGAACTCTTTTGTATTATTAGGTCACCTGAGTAAACTCAGGTGACCTATTGCTATCCGTTTTCGTCCGTCGTCGTCCGTCGTCGTCCGTCGTGCGTCGTGTGTTAACATTTAAACATTTTCAGCTTCTTCTCTACAACCACTGAACCAATTTCAGCCAAATTTGGCACAAAGCATCTATGGGTGAAGGGAAACAAAAATTGTGAATTTCATGATCCCTGCCCCCCTGGGGCCTGAGGGGTTGGGCCAAAACCACTAAAAATAATGCAATCTTTAAAAATCTTCTTCTTTAGTCCTGGACATCAAGCAGTCAAACTATTTGCATGATTGTAATCAGCATTGAGTCCTCTACCAAATTTGTGAAATTCATGGCCCTGGGATCAGGGGTTCTAGTGCTAGGGCGGGGCTAAGTAAGTATACTGTGAAAATGCATTATTTCTTTGAAAATCTTCTTCTGTGCTCCTGGGTATAAGATAAACCAACTAAGTACATATTTATAATGAGCAAGAGTGCCTCTACCAAAATTGTGAATTTTATGGCCCCAGGGTCAAGGGTTCTGGTGTTGGGGGGGGGGGGGGGGGGCTCTATTGATTATATAGCGAAAATACATGAATTCTTTGAAAATCTTCTTCTCTGCTCCTAGGTATTAAATAAACTAACTAAGTGCATAGTTATGATGAGCAAGAGTGCCTCTACCAAAATTGTGAATTTTATGGCCCCAGGGTCAAGGGTTCTGGTGTTGGGGGGGGGGGGGGCTCTATTGATTATATAGTGAAAATACATGAATTCTTTGAAAATCTTCTTCTCTGCTCCTAGGTATTAAATAAACTAACTAAGTGCATAGTTATGATGAGCAAGAGTGCCTCTACCAAAATTGTGAATTTTATGGCCCCAGGGTCAAGGGTTCTGGTGTGGGGGGGGGGGGTCTATTGATTATATAGTGAAAATACATGAATTCTTTGAAAAACTACTTTAAAACTACTTAGAAAAAAAAACACTAACTTATAGCATAGTTATGATGAGAAAGAGTGCCTCTACCAAAATTGTGAATTTTATGGCCCCAGGGTCAAGGGTTCTAGTGTATGGGGGGGCTTTATTGATTATATAGTGAAAATACATGAATTCTTTGAAAATCTTCTTCTCTGCTCCTAGGTATTAAAAAACTAACTAAGTGCATAGTAATGATAAGCAAGAGTGGCTTTACCAAAATTGTGAATTTTATGGCCCCAGAGTCAAGGGTTCTGGTGTTGGGGGGAGAGGCTCTATTGATTATATAGTGAAAATACATTCTTTTAAAATCATCTTCTCTGCTCCTAGGTATTCAATAAGCTAATGAAGTGCAATGTTATAATGAGAAAGAGTGTCTCTATCAAAATTGTGAATTTTATGGCCCCAGGGTCAAGGGTTCTGGTGTTGGGGGGTGGGGGGGGGCTCTATTGATTATATAGTGAAAATACATGAATTCTTTGAAAATCTTCTTCTCTGCTCCTAGGTATTAAATAAACTGAGTGCATAGTTATGATGAGAAATAGTGCCTCTACCAAAATTGTGAATTTTATGGCCCCAGGGTCAAGGGTTCTGGTGTTGGGGGGGGGGGGGGGGGCTCTATTGATTATATAGTGAAAATACATGAATTCTTTGAAAATCTTCTTCTCTGCTCCTAGGTATTTAATAAACTTACTAAGTGCATAGTAATGATGAGCAAGAGTGCCTCAACAAAAATTGTGAATTTTATGGTCCCAGGGTCAAGGGTTCTGGTGTTAGGCCGGGGTTCTATTGGTTTTATAGTGAAAATTCGTTAAATTTTCTTCTCTGTCTCTGGGTATGAAGTAGATGAACTACCTATATAGTTATGATGAGCAAGGGCCCTAATCTTGCAGAATTGTGTATTTTAAGCCCCCATGGTCAGGGGTTGGGTGGGGGGGGGGCTCTGCTTTTATACTGAAAATGAATTTATTGTTTGAAATCTGCTCGTTTGTATTTATGAAATATTTATTTATTTTTTTGATAGGCAATTTTAAGGGTGCCTTTTAAAAATTTGTGCAATGTTTGGACCTAGGGTCAGGGGTTTATGTCACTGTGTAAGGGGCACTACTAATTATTGCTGAATATTACTGATTACTTGGAGTGCCTTTTTGTTCCCTATCCCTGCGTATGGGTATTCAGTTACCAAGCTAAGCAACTGTAAAGTGTATTGTTATGATGATCAATGGTGCCTCTTTCAAAATTGTGAATGCCATATAGCATCTGGCTTAAAACAGGAATCAAATTCAATACACTGTAACTGGAAAGTTGTTGCATAATGCTCAGGTGACCTATAAGGCCCGTGGGCCTCTTGTTGGGTAAAAAGTGACAGGTATGTCAATATGGAAAGAAGTCATGTATGAGCATTTTTTCTTCATCTAGGGAGTTGTTGTGGAGCATTATTGCACTATGAAAGAGGAAAAAATTATTTTAAAATATTTGAATGTAAGAAAGAAACAACAACTAAGCTTGAATAAACAAATAACAGGCCCAGAGAAAGAAATTACAGTGTGGGGGAGGGGGGACAATCTACATTATCAACTACCAAGAATTCCATACTAAAGTGAAAAAAAAATAAAAGGTCATCATATGTTTTTTTTATTTTGGGCATTATACATGTAGTAGCTATGTTTTCTGTAGGGTTCTGTCCCTATAGGGTTCTGTCCTCAGGGAATCTACATGTATGTCATGGTTATTTTAGGAAATTAAATCAAACAGTAACATATTTTTAATCAAAATATACATTTGATATTTTGTTTAAGGCACCTGAAGCCGTTCAAGTTTGAGATCATTTTATTCAGTCAAACCATTTCAGGTCAATAAAGACAATGAAGAATAAACTTCAGGTCAGAGGTACAAGTATATGATATACATAATCAAAATATGAAAAGGAAAAGAAAAACACATATGAAACATGTA